TAGTTGCGCATTCTATAGTTAAAAGCAAATCTCAATTCTTTTTTTAGAGGATAAAGCTTGTTTGCAAGCCTAAAATATTTGATTGCCAATGCTGAGCTGGTGATTGGACATTTCATAACTTCCATTACGATTACTAACATGTTATCTGATGAGAATCCTTATCTACATTTAGAATAATCATAACTTACTTTAATAATTTTATATAATTCATTATTAGTAATCATTCACAGTTGTAACAATCATTTATGGATCAGATAGATAAGATAATAATAATGACAAAGAGTAATTTAAAAATTACTATTATATAGAAAACAAGAAATCTACCCTTTTGTGACACCATTTTCATCTAAAGGATAATCCACTGTAACAATTTTTCCAAAATTTGAGTACAATTTATGCAGGACATTCTTTAGCTTTTCGACTCTCTCCGGGCCAACTTTCGGGACTCCATCAACAATGATAACAGATTCAACACCATCGGTTTCCTTAGGCTTATTTTTAAGTAAGTCACCCAGCAACTCTAAAAACAAAAGTAATAGTCTTAATAAAATAACATGTTGCATGAACACAACAAGTAAACAGGCAATATTCAAAAATAGTAAAATTTCTCCAGCAATAAAAAACACCTTTCACAGTTACCCTACACCTGATTAAGAAATTCAAATAACGGAATTAATACTTAAAAATTCTATATCTTGAGTAAAATTAATTTTAAATAACCACTGAAAATTTAGTAATTTATATTATGTTAAAGTTAGTGTATTATTCATAAAGTTTATTATTGAAGAGTCGTATGAAGAAAAATTTGGCTCCGACCCTTTGCTAAATATTTAATCATTAAAATAGATCCTTCATAAAATATTTTACTGCAAAAACTGACTCTTTAAAAATCTTTTCCGAAGGAAAATAGAGTCAATAATGTCTTAAATTTGTGGCTTCTTTGAAAGGGAAACACTACTAGAAAGACATTGTTTATGTGTTTTTCCATCATAACAGTGTTTTACTTTTCCATAATAATAAAATTATTGAAACAGCGTTTTACTTTTCCAAAATAATAAAATTATGATATTTTTAACAATCTCCCAAAAAACAGGTAAGTATTGAAAGTTTGAACAGACTACAGATTAATGTGATTTTTTACAAAAAAAATGACGTTTTTAGAAAGTCTGGAATAACCCCAGAATCACATCAAGGATAGCTAATCATAGCCTTTTTTACAACAATTGGTTTGCATTAAAGAAGAAAAAAAACAGACATTAGGTATTTATGTTTCAAGTATAAGAAATGCTTCATAGGTAAGAAGCTATTTACCTATGAAAAGCCAAGTTTACATAGGTAGGAAGCCATTTAAATTCTAACAAGTACTCTTGATTATTAGCACATCAACAGAAAACTGATGGTAAGCAACAACACAGCACAAACAATTCTGCATTCTTTGAACGTAAATTTTAAAGCTTGTGTTCAAAGAAACATTGCAAAATTTGTTTGCTATCAGGCTATAAAAAGCATATTTTTAAGATATTAGGTTGAACTTATGTCAGTTATTGTTTGGTAAACAATGTACTGTTAACTTTCAATGATAGATAAAATGAACAAAACAAATGGGAAATCATTAAAAAAAATACTCACAATTTAAAGAAAATACTAACTAATAAAGCTTTTCGATCGAAAAATTGTTTATGGCCCTGCATTCGACAGGGCATCGGAGTATGCAAGCAAATACTAGTTATTATGACAATAGTTAAACTAATTAAAATAAATAAGTGGAAGTGAAGATTTGTAACATGCCACAACGCAATAGAAACCAGCATACTAAGGGTCAATTGATTCAATATACTAATAACGATTGTATGTTTATAACATGATAGGTCTGGTACACTTGTCAAAATAATAACAAACCGTATGTTACAAAAAAGTAAATACATAAATAAGTTGAATTTAAATAAATTAATGATATGAATAGTTTTCATCAGAATAATAAGAAAACTTAAATAAAATGTTATGGACATATTTTATTAGATAAATAGATCATTTAAAATTGAGATCATAATATTTTCACGGTAGTGTAAACAATGTAGAAGACGAATAACCTTCGTCAGAGATATCATCAACGTAATCCTCGGGATCACTGTAACTTGGTTCCTCTTCATCCAGATTATCAAAATTCATTTTGCTATAAGTATTATGATTTTGGTTAGATTCTGGATTAAGCAAATCGCGGTCGGCTGCCATAACTCTCCATGCGTATATTTTCGTTGTGGTCGTGGTGATAAATGCTGATGCCAACAAAATTCAGAACTTTTAAATTGGATAGCCGAGAGAACAGGAAATGTTTTCAGTGAACCACGCAAGGCTAAGTACAGATGGCGCTAGAAGTTAAAATTATTTTAAGACTTCAAGCTTCCGGCTTACTATTTCTGAATGATTTTTATACCTAAGCTTGCGGGGTCACTCTTTTGGAGTGGTTTCGGCTCGGGTCTGCGAGAGAAAGGAAATCTCCTTTTTCAGTCTATTGTGTTAGTCCTAGAGTAAAGCTACCCTCCCTAAAACGCGCCACCCTTGCTTTCATAACACTAGACGGCTTCAGACTTTGTGATGGGATGAGTTTTTAGCTTGGACAAACTATACACTCTATTGCAGTGTTTCCCAAACTTATGACTTTTGTGTACCGCTTCTAACTTTTTCGTAACGCTGTGTACCAATTATAAAAAAATTATTGTATTTTTTTTAAAAATATGTTTACTTTTCTTTTTTGGCACAAAGTTTTCGTTAAAAAAAAATCTTAAATTTTGGTAAAAAATTCCATGCTAAGGATAAAAATTATATTTTATTAAAATAATCAAAATAAGCAGAATTTATTACAAACCTTTACTACGAAAAAAATTGCACAAAAGCTACAAATCACAACTGACTGTCGACAACTGTAATTATTAACTGACTGTAATTATTAACTATTAACTCTGCAAAAAATAGCAAAAGAAAAATACGTAATCGTACATTTTCATAGCTGGCTTTGTTTTTAAATAAATTTCAAAAATTAATTTTTGAAATTTTCGCTTGTTGCAAGATATTTCGCATAAGAACGCGTACCCCCACTAAACTGTTCCCGTACCCCTGGGGGTACGCATACCACACTTCAGGGGTACGCAAACCACACTTGTCCCGCAGTGGACTGATCGTTAAGACACGGTTCCCAGCAGATCACCGAAGTCAAGCATCACTGGCTGCGGTCAGTGTGCGGGTGGGTGACCACTTGGATCTGTCTGCGTAGAGACCGAGGGTGTTCGGTATTGGTCCTCATTAAACTGTTCTACCTTAAAGTGCTCGACTTCGCGTGCAGGTCGTCGGGCTACCGAAGCGGGGGTGCCATCCCCTCCGCAGAGGATCAGAATTGTGATGGCGTGTCTTCGGATCATCCTCAGGGATGTTTCCCAGACCGTCGCCAATAGCCCACTGCGCAGCTCTAATGCGACGTAAATGAACTACTACTACTACTACTACCACACTTTGGGAAACACTGCTCTAGTGTATTAGTTTTTTTGCAAGAGTAATAATATTGAATGTAGTTGCGCGTTGCGCACTCTTTCTAATACTGAATGTATTGTTGTAGTAGTTGCGCATTCTTTCAATTTAACTTTTAATGAAACAAATAAGAAGAGAGTTCGGAAGACCTCGCAAGCATGCTATGATTCTACCCAAAAAATAACAACCGTCGTCGGAGATATTTCACACAATTACATCCAACTAATAACAATAACACTCAAAATACGGCAAACCGTATACTTTATTTATGTTGAGAAATTAATTTAACTTTAATTAAATTTGCTTTCGGCTCACGATCTGTTAGAATTTATAAATTACCGGAAACTCTTAAAAATGGTAAAATGTCAATATTATAAGAAAAGCACAATAATAAAACTTTCTAGAATATTAAGCTTGTTCACACATCTCCTCGTAAACATAACAAAAGCGGATGGATACACTGGAAGTATGACGACTTTTACAGTTCCTTGCTCATAATATAGGAAAATAATGGTAAATATCATTCGCTTATGGGTCGCTCTTAAAAGAAATATTTTAATTAGGAACCAAAATCTTTCATAGAATTGCAAATTTTTTCATTTTTTTCCTTTAAATCGAAAAATAAAATCAGATTTTTCTTAGAATTAAAGTTTTTGGATAAAAAATTGAGACAAATAAACAATATTTGTAACAGATAAAAAGAAATATGTTGCTGAATGAAGTGCAATACTTCCCTTTGTAACCCTTTCACCTTTTTTTGTTTTCAGACATTCTTTCTGCAATTTTGAATAGAGTGTCTTATCTGTTACATCACACACATAGGCAAGTTGAAAAAACCTTGCTGTTTCAAAAACTAGCCCATCAATGAGATCTGCCGAATTTTACTCATATAAAAGTAACTTTTTTTTCTAGCAGTCTGTTTATTATAGTCTGTCGCTTAAAAGTGGACTTCAGGAAAACTTTGATTCGTCGATATTTTGCATAACTAGAGACTGGTAAATCAGCTGTAGCCAAAGTAAAAATTTATATTTTAGATGCAAAGAATATGTCAAGCGTTGTATGGAAAAATATTGGAGATTCTAGCATAAGTAACTGCTTCAAAAAAGCAGCATTTATATTTTCTGATGAAAATGAATATAGTGATGAAGTCTACGATGTTAAAGATTGCCGATCTTAGTGATGGCAACATCGCTGATGAAATGGCTAAGGATGACGTGGTGATGATCCTAATGATAAAGATGATGAAAAATTTCCATTAATTCATACTATAGGTTAAAAATTGTAGGCACTATTCAAGATTATTTGTTGTTTTATTCAGCCATTAAAACTCTATTATCATATTTGTATGAATTTGAATAAAAAAAACCCTTTTACAAATTCGTCAATAAAAACAAAAACATCCGATAAGGATTATTTTATTAGAAATAGTTTTATTTGGTATTCTACAATTAGATTGTCATTTTTTTAGATTTTTATGCGAGATAGAGTTTGCTTGGGTCTGTATGAACCCTTAGAAATTTAATAACGGAATTCCTACAAAGCCAATGACCTTAAAATTTCTTTAATTTCAGTAATCAAGCTCTAAACGCCTGAAACTTCTACCAAGTATCAGAATTTTTTAAGGTTAATATTTTTCACATAAAAAAAAAGTTCTCATGTTCAGCAACAACATCAACTGTATCCCCACGTCTGTTAAAAACTGCACTTTTTTATACATGTAAATGAAAGGAAAATACTTATATTTCTTTTGTAAATGCACATTATGATTAGATTGATCTTACGTTTGATGAGAATGAAAAGAAACCAGAAATCATACTCTTCTATAACTATTGAGAATAAGGCAAAAATAATTTAAATGGCCGATTGCTTTTTGCAGGATTTCGTAGCATTTTGAAGTATTCAAGTCAATAAAGAAACTGGGATGATGTATCCCGTGCGTTCTTCCGGATAAACAAAGTATAATAAATGTAAAACAAAAGTTCAAAAAATAGCTTTTGTGATTACAGATCCTGTTTCATAGTTCATCAACTCAAATAAATTTGTGGAAAATACAAAATGCTCACGTACTTGCAGACCGCTTTTTACACTATCCATAATTCGTTACTTTAAAACTTAAATTTTTTGTCTATTCTCTAAAAATAATGATTCCTTCTACAGAAGATCAGAACTATGATGGTATGTCTTCGGATCATCCTCAGGGATGTTTCCTGGACTGTCGCCGATAGCCCATTGTGCAGCTCTAGTGCGACTTAAATATTGTACCTAGCTACTTAAAAATGATGATGCCGGTTTAGTGGAGAGCATATTTAGAGGTGGTAGGAGCAAAAGCTTAAGATATCCATCCTATTATGGGACACCCGATCGACGATTCAAGGCATATAATCTAAACTCAATAGAAATAATTTTATTATGAAGTTAATTTTTTTTTTGAAGGAATGAGGGTAACTAAAACATATAATTTTTGGACGGATAAAATGTATATTCAAATGTAGAATAAAGTTTTAGGTCATTAAAATTCCATTTTTTTTTCACTTTTAGTAAAAAAAAGGAATATATTCTGTTGAAAATAATACAATTCACACCACAGAACTATTTTCTTTTAATTTATTCTTAAAAATTAATTAAAAAAAAAGGTTTCCATCCTATTATGGGACACCCGATTGACGATTCAAGGCATATAATCTAAACTCAATAGTAATAATTTTATTATGAAGTCAATTTTTTTTGAAGGAATGAGGTTATCTAAAACAAATAATTTTTGGACGGATAACATGAGTATTCAAATGTAGAATAAAGTTTTAGGTCTTTAAAATTCTATTTTTTTTCACTTTTAGTAAAAAAAAAAGGAATATATTCTGTTGAAAATAATACAATTCACACCACAGAGTTATTTTCTTTTAATTTACGCTCGAGTACGCCGTCTAGCGGGAGCCTGTAAATATCGGACATTAATTTATCACGTTTTCATTTAGTTCCATCAAAGTCATTGACTGAATCAGACGCCATTTTTTAGCAGCAAATANATACCAAACAATTATAAATATTAACATTTGATCTAAATAAAGACTTTTATTCATGTTCTCAATGCAATTTATGTACCGTTTTAGACTTTTGAATAGGCTTTTCACTTATACCAGCGATTCTCAACCTGTGGGGCGCGCCCCCCTAGGGACGTGCGAGCACACTAGAGGGGTGGCGCGAAAATATCCAAGAGAAAATATTATTTAAAAAAATTGACTAACTGACTGAAAGAAAAGAACACATACGCATAGAAAACGAAATACATTTTGACTTATTTAATAACTTATTAAAGTGAAAAATCTTATGAAATCAAAACTTAGGGTGGGTGAGCCAAAGGTGGCCATAGCTAAGCTTTGAGGATTTTACCTAATTTTCTGATTAAGTCTGTGTGGCTGAAGTATTTTTTTTCTTTTTTTCTGCAAAATCTTGCACCTGTCTCTAATACATATCACATATACTTTTAATTGTAAAATAAAATTTTATTTATTCTATAGTACAATTTCACAAATTCAAAAGTCAAAATAACAAATTTCAGATGTTCTTCTTTAGCCTTGCAAGTTTTAGTACAATCATCCACATTTACAAACATAGTTAGGCTTTTTTACTTAAAATTTCTGCTTCACAATTCCAATTTTCTACAAAAAGCATTAACTTTATCACTCGTATCCAACATATGAGTATTTACTCCTTGGAGTAGAAGATTCAAGTTATTTAATTTCTTGAATGTATCTGCCAAGTAGCTCAATTTCAT